GTGACAAGCGCCCTGACCCAGGTCCACTCCCTACTCCACCTCTCATTAGCTGTGTGACTCATCCAAAATGAGGATCCCTTCACCACTGACAATCTGCAATCACAATGCCTTGCCCAGATCCCCTAGAACCTCCATGCAAAGTCCCGCTCTGGGCCAACACGCTTCCCCCTTGCCTGAGCACCTTCCTTCTCTACCTACTCAAGCTCCACTTCCAGAAGACTTCTAAGATAACCCCGCCCTTTGGTTTATTGGCTGTATATAAGATAAGTGCCATTAGTTTACTTTCCCAAGATGTTTCTCCTGCCTCTCCCCGTAGACCATGAAGTCGCAGAGAACAGAGCCCATAGCCCTGAGCCCTGGCCTGGTTCAGAGTGGTGGGCCCTTGACAAGGACCGCTAACAGAGATGGGCAGCCTGGGCCACAGGCACCCAGTGAGACAAAGGAGAAGGCAATGAGAGGAAAAGCAGAGAGACAGAGAGAGAGAGAAGACAGGCAGAATGACTTGAGAGATTTAAGAGCAACCTCCAGAAGAGCGAAAAGTATGGTGGGCAGAAAGGAATGCACAGAGGAAGACAGAGCCAGCCCCAGCCTCTTGCAAGTAGGAGGGAGAAAGCAAGACAGCAGGGCTGAGGCAGGGCTGCTCTCAGGAGAGGGAAAGGCAGAGTGCAAGGGGAGAAGGGAGAGAAGCTGCCCCATGCTCACCTCCCCACACCTGACCATGGGCCAGAGGCCAGGCTGGCTAAAGGAGGTCAGAAAGACCAGTGTGTCAGTGCCAGGGCAAGGGTCACGCAGTGACAGGGCAAAAATGAAAGCGGCTGTGAGCAGGAGAGGGCTAGCAGCCCCAGCCTGGGAGCCAGCCCACAAGTGTGTGGGAGGCTGGGCTCAGAAATAACAGGCGCTAATCTGTCCTGCAGCTCTGCTTGTCATCTGCATGTCTGACTGGCCATCATCAGTGTGTTCTGCTCTGAGTTTGCGGACCAAGGCTGGGAGCAGGCCTGATCCCTGTCCTCAGAGTCTGCAGGTCTAGAACCTTCCTCTGGGCACCTTGGAGTCAGTTTGTCCTTCTTTCTGCCTGAACCTGCCACCTGCCTGCATACTCTCAGCTCCCACTCTGTGCCCTACCTGGCTGGCACACCTGGAAAACAAATGATAGCCTCTGGATGCAGAAGTAGGGGCTCAGGCACAGGAGGATGGCAAGAGGGGGCCCCTGAGGGAAGATGAGAAGACAGAGGAGAGCAACCTCAGTGAGATGAGATCTGAGTCAGGTAGGTAGCTTGTCCCTCTTCCTCCCCTTCCCTGGGGTCCATCCCACACAGTGGGGCTGAGCTCAGAGCTATATATACCTTCCAGCTGGACCAAGGCCACTGCTGAGAGCCCCTCCATCAACTCCCTGTGCAGTCCTGCCTTGGCCCAGATTCCATGGCTGGTAAGAAGAGATAAGCCAGCGTCTGGACCCCAGCAGGATCTGTACTCACGGAGGACAGGTGCTGTGGGGGCTGGGTGAGTCATCAAACACTGCCGAGCAGCCTCCTGCCCGCTGCCCAGAACTTGACCCACCTGGATCTGGGGCCAAGGAGAAGGCAGGGCAGGGGAGAAGGGAGGAGCAGGTGGGAGGCTTTGCACAGCGCACAAAGGCCACTCAGGGCGATGGGGGAGCACTGTGTGGGAAGGCAGGAGAACTGGGTTCTAGCCCTAGCTCTCCTACTTACTACCTGAGAGACTCTAAGAGAAACGGCTTCTCTGAGCTTCCCTCTGCATCTTCAAGCACAGATTATAATTCCTCCCTCAAAAAGACCGTAGAGATAACGAATGTCAGAGGCCACTCCTGCTTACTCAGCATAACTAAGAGGCTCCTGGCCAATGCGGGAAGGCAGGAGAACTGGGTTCTAGCCCTAGCTCTCCTACTTACTACCTGAGAGACTCTAAGAGAAATGGCTTCTCTGAGCTTCCCTCTGCATCTTCAAGCACAGATTATAATTCCTCCCTCAAAAAGACCGTAGAGATAACGAATGTCAGAGGCCACTCCTGCTTACTCAGCATAACTAAGAGGCTCCTGGCCTCAGCCTCTCTCCCTTCCCCTCCCCAGTCCTCCTCTGTGTCATGCCCACACCCTGCACCCCTCCCTGTCTTTCTGCACAGGGGACACCAATATGGCCAGGACAGTTTGCCAAACATCATTTTCATCCTGCTGTCCCCCCACCCCACCCCAGCCCACTCAACAGCACCCCTTCTGCTAAGAAGAATTCCAGCACAAGGCCTGCTGGAAGCTTGTAGCCTTAGATTTTCCAAACCCTGATTCAGTCACAAGTATCTGGTGACTGAAGATAAAGAAAGTCTCTTAACCCAATTCCAGTGAGGACAGAAATATCCACCCATAACAACTAAATAAAACTAAGATTCACCCAAATGTCCATCAATGGATGAATGGATAAACAAAATGTGGTCTACCCATATTCATTTTTTAAAAGGAGGGAAATTCTGACACATGTGACATTATGCTAAGTGAAATTAGCCAGTCACAAAAAGATGATTCCTCACCTATACGAGGTGCCTAGAGCAGTCATATCCATAAAGACAAAGTAGAGTGGTGCCTGTCCGAGGCCAGGGGTTAGGGCATGAGGAGTTTGTATTTAATGGGTATAGAGTTTCAGTCTGTGATGATGAAAAAGTTCTGGAGATGGATGGTGTGATGGTTGCACAATAATGTGAATGTACTTCGTGCCACTGAACTGTATAGTAATGGTTAAAAGGGTAAATGCTATGTACATTTTGCCACACACACAAAAAGAAACAGCTCAGCACCCAGAGTCTAGGGTACAATGACATTCAAATAAACGTCTGCTGATTCTGCCACATTCTGCCATCTCCAAGGGCCTTCCCAGACACCTGCAGCAACCTCAGCTCTCCCTCTGCTGAATGCCTCTTGCATACTTATTTGCCAATTTCCCCTTAAAGCACAAAGACATCCTGCAATCCCCATACACCAGGGACCCTGACGGCTCTGTAGCTGAACTACTTGCTCTGCCCTGCACACCCCTTGCCCCTTCTCATATTCTCACTTCAGCTTATGATCAATACCCATCCCACTCTCCATCAAAGTGGCAAAAAGAGCCTAGGGTCCCGGAGCCTCCATTCCACACCAGCTCCATGGGGATAACCTATGTAAAGCACCCAGTCTCATACGTGGCACCCAGCAGGTGCTCCATACACTGAGCTATCTCCTTCATAAAGCTTCCACAGGGGCCAAAAGTATGAAGCAACCATCAGAACACGAAGCAGTTAGAGACAGGGAAACACAGAAGGCCAATCCAGGGCATGAATGCCCACAGACATAAGAGAGACTCTGTGGGAACGGAGCAAAGCCACAGTGGTGGGCTGGTGAGGAGAAATGCGAAGTTTTACTGGTGACTGAGGAGCAGACCCAGGTTCTGGCACAAAAGCAGCTTGCTTCCCCAACGAGCAAAAGAGAAGGCCTCATTCTGGCTTTGTAGGGAAGGCAGTAGGTAAAGGATGAAGTAGAAGGGGCTGTGAGAGCTCCATGACTCCCTATGCCAGTAACAAACCGGATTTAAGTTTAGTCAGTTGAATTAAGTTGAATAGTGTCCCCCTCAAAATTCCTGTCCACCTAGAACCTCAGAATGTAATCTTATTTGGAGATAGGGTCTTTACAGATAGATGTAATTAGTTAAAATGAAGTCATACTGGATTGGAGTGGACCCCTAATCCAATGGCTGGTGTCCTTATAAGAAGAGAAGACACGTAGAGACGTACAATGAGGGAACACAGCCACGTGACAACAGGCAGAGACTGGAGTGGTGCAGCCATAAGCCAAGGAACACCAAGGTTTGCCCCTTGTGGAGCACCCACTATAAGCTAGGAGGAAGGCATGAACAGACCTCTCTCAGAACCCTGAAAGGAACCAGCCCAAGAACATCTCGATTTCAGACTTTTGGCCTCTGAACCATGAAAAAATAAATTTCTGTTGTTTCAAACCACCCTGTTTGTGGTAATTTCTTACAGCAGCCTTAGGAGATGAATATAGTTGGTCCCCACAAGACCCTCACACAGTGTTCTTTAAACAGCTGACAAAGCATCTGTGTTTGGGGAGAGGCACCAGTGTAGGCTGCGGGGGGTGGGCATCGGGACTGGGACCATCTTGCTGGAAGCCAAGGTGGGGCCCACTCTTCTCAGGGGCTTCAGCCAGTGACCGAGACCTTCTTAGCTCCTGCCCAAAACCAGTGTTTCAGGCTGAGGGTCCTGGCAGACTTTCCCATGGGAATGAAAGTCTGACCTGTGCCTTCCAACAGCTGTTCAGTTTTCGTTTTTTTTTTACTTTCCCCAATACCCTCTCTTCCATCCAAAAGTTAACACAGCCCCAGGCAGACTCCTTGGTCCTTCCTGCATGGCTACTGGACATAAGGTGCCTATATGTGTGTGTTCTGCATCCTCAGCCACTCAGGAAGATCTAGCCTTTCCAGATCACTTTTGGCTGAAGGGGATCTTTCCTGAGTGAGGTCTACAGAACTCTGCTTGAATCTTTCCTGGGACACTCCAGTCTGCCTTGCAGCCAGTTATATGTGTGCTCACCCCTCACCCACCATACTGTAAGCCCACCAATACCTGGAACACAGTAGGCTCAGGAAGGAGGAAATGAGTCCAATGGTCACCTTCCTGACCACTCCTCACAGCCACGGTAGAAAGCTGGGAGTTGAGGCACTGGCCTGGGGAACAGCTTGTGAGATTTCCCAGCATTCCACCTCTGTCCCATCTCCTACTGTCCCAGGCCCTCATCCACTCAAAGGCAACCCCCAGATGCCTTTGCATCCCTTGGGAACCCGGTGCGGAAGCAATGTCCCTCTGACATAAGCCCCAAGAGATCACTCCCCTCCATCACTTGGTGGAAACCCCAAGGTTACTTTGTCTCACCTCTTTCCTATGTTCTATTCCGAGCTGGACCATGAGGTCAGGTGTCTACTGCCCCACCCCAATAGGTTCCTTACCGTACATCTTGCCCTCATCTGACAGAATGATCTTGCGCCGGCCACAGGGCGGGTAGATGGCCAGGGCCTCCTGGAAGCTCTGCTCAATGTCTGGGCTCCACACGCCCTCCGCATCATTGTCGATGGGCTTGTCCAATGCCTGACTGCCCCCAGAGACGTTGCTCCCCTCAGGGGAGTTGGGAGAGCTCCACTCGTTGGAGGTAATGGTGCCGGCCTTGCCCTCCAAGGCTCCGCTTGGAGGAGCGCCCGTTGGACCTGTTTGGGCAGAAACCATGGCATTGGTGGAAGAACTATGTGAACCATGGGATGAGAGCACCGAGGGAGGGGAGTGCCAAGGCCTAAACTAGTTGCTCTTCCTTGCCTGGCTACTTGGAGCACATGAGCTCGGAGGAAAAAGGCCAGGGATTCAGGCGACAAAGTAAAATGTCCAGGAGGATCAAGAGGCCCAGGATCCATGGCAGGTCATCGCCCCTCTGTAGACCTCAGCTTCCCATCTGTCAAATGAGCACAATGACCTGGGCGCTCTCCAATTGCAGCTCTTAGAACCCAGACAGGCCAAGGAAGTAGAAGACAAGGACTAAGTGCCCGTGGACAGTCTGCCATTAATTCAACAATGGGCAAAAAGGATGCAAAATGTTGTATGCTGTTGGCGAGAAGACGTAATAGTACAGACAGTATGGAAAACAGAATGGAGTTTCCTCAAAAAATTAAAAATTGAACAACCCGTGATCCAGCAATCCCATGTCTAGGTATATATCCGAAAGAATTGAAAGCAAGAAACTGAGGAGATATTTGTACACCTATGTTCATAGCAGTATTATACACAAGAGCCAAGAACAACACAAGTGTCCACAGATGGATGAATGAATAAACAAAATGTGGTATGTGCATACAAAGGAATATCATTCATCCTTAAAAAGGAAGAAAATTCTGTCACATGCTACGACATGAAAAAACCTTGAGGACATTATGCTCAGTGAAATAAGCCAGGCACAAAAAGACAAATACTGTATGATTCCACTTACATGAGGTACGTACAATAGTCAAAGAGACAGAAGGTAGAATGGTCACTGTCAGTGGTTGGCGAGAGGAGGAAATGGGAGTTGGTGTTTAATGGGTACAGAGTTTCAGTTTTGCAAAGTGAAAAAGTTCTGAAGATCTGTTGCACAACGATACGAATATACATTTAACACTACAGAGCTGTACACTTAAAAATGGTTAAGATGATAAATTTTATGTTTTTGATCACAATTAAGTACTTAAATTTTAAAACAAGGATGCAAAGTAAAATGAAGTTCATCATTCTCTATTACATTTCCAGCTTGGGCTCTTTTTAAAAGAAGGTTTCAGCCATGGCAGATTCTCACATGTGGGGCTATGGCAAGGTTGCTTTGCTGGTGCCCACAGAAGCTGACAACACAATCCTGCCCTTGCCTCTAGCGTAAAACAAATCCAGTGACCTGCTGGCTCTGACTATCCAAGCTGTAAATTTCTGGACACAGTTCTCAGGGGGTTGGGAAGGAGTAGGACACACCAGTAATCTTAAAGCAGTTTCTGGATTATGAATACCAAGCGGGTACCATTTACCTCCCAAGGCCCTCCTTGAGACTCCAGCTACTGAGCACATCTGCAAAGGAGGACCTCTCCTCATCACACATACCTCACATATCGCCCAATTCCTTCTTCCCCAGTAGCCATGAGGAACAGTGTAGCCCAACAGCCTAAACCCAGGGATAGAAGTTTAAACGCCGGAGTTCCAACCCACTTCCATCCAGGACCCTCTGAGATAAGACTTTCCCCAGAGCATTCCTGGCTTTCTCTCCCTTTCCCATGCCTGAAGCCTCTCACTACCACCCACTCCCGCAGGCCTGTTAGAGGAACACAGTTCTTCACAGAGGGGTAGGTATGCGGGTCAGTGTGGTTAACATCCAGGGAAGGGACTGGAAAAGCTGAGTAGGGAAACAGCACGTCCTGGGAGGGAGTGGAGGTTCCAAGGAGCTTGGCCAGACTGCTGGTACAGGTGAACAGTCAAACAGTCCAACAGAAAGAGGTTAAACCACTGAAATTTAAAGCAGGAACCCTAATGGAAACCTAACTCAACCCCCTCCGCTTGCAGATGAGGACCCTGAGGCTCAGAAAGGCCTAAGGACTTGCCCAAGGTCATACAGCCAGTCAACAGAGCATCTGGGTCTTGATCTCTGCCCTCCAGTGTCCCAGGCCTTCCAGTACAACAAATATTGGCTCCCTCTGGGTGGCTGTTAAAATAAGTTTTCCTCGAAATGTGTCTTAGGAGGTCACTTGATCTGAAAAAAATTAGATTATTTTCCATCAGAATTTCTGGTCTTGAATCTACCATGAATGTTGAAGCATTTTTCTGTACCTTCCCCAAAACAAACTTCTTAAAAGAGCTGTTAACTTTAATTTCTGGCAATACAATAAAGATGATTTTACTGTATTCTATAAAAGGAATTTAGATACAATAAATAAAATATAACGAATATGCTTTAAAATGCACAGCTGACCTCAGAAGAAAGTAAACCCATAGAGGCTCAAAATGAGAGAACTCTAAGCTACAGAAATAAGCAAATGGGCTGTCACTACACTAGCTCTGGGAGGCAGGGAGCGAAGCTATTCTCAGTAATAAAGCCACAGGGTTTTAATGGCCTCGGAGATGAAACCTTAGACCCGAGATATCCTGGCAGGTGGAAAAGAAAACTATGCCTCAATCCTCAGACAAAAGGTAGAATCCAAACGAAATAAACAAGGAAGATTGTCTGTCTTAGCCTAATACCTAGGTATAAAAAAGAATCGTCTTTCCTAAAAATTTGTGAGATTTGAATTTTACATGACTCAGAAAACTCCAGCCAATTCATAAAAATAAACAGTGGTCCCAGACTGAAAATCTCTGAAAAGACAATCTTAACCGAGACTGCAGAGAACTCTCAAAGATAATGCCTTACTAAAGAGGATCTCAAAATCCCAAATTACTACTATATATGTATATATATGTGTATATCTATATATATATGTGTATATATATATATACACATATATATTGTGGATTTTTAGGAAAAAAGGCTGTGTTGCCCTCAGGTCTTTAGGGAAGGCAGGCCTTTGCAAGCACAGATTAGATCTCCAAGAACTACAAATAATTGAAATATCAGATAAAAACTATTATATAATTGTATTTAAAATAATTAGCAACTTAAACAAGAAATTAGAAACATGAGAAAGAATTAGACAATATCAAAAAAATACAAAGCAGACTGGAAACAACAAAATAAAACATTTAAAAATAAAAATTTTAGTCACTCGATGCTTAAGATTAACAGTAAATTAGAGACAGCTAGAGAAAAAAATTAACAACCTGGAAGACCGATCTGAGGACATTACTCAGAGATGTATTTTTTTAATGATAATAAAGAGCAAAGAGAACAGAATAAGGCAGTTCAACATACTTCCAATTAGCATTGCAAAAAGAGAGAATATGAAAAATTAAGTAGAACAACATTTGAAGACTGCTATATTGATTGTGTATATTGATAAGACTTCTCAACAGTAACACTAGGAGACTCAATATAACACCTACAAATTATTGAGAGAAAAATAACTGTCAACCCAGAATTTAAAACCCAACCAAAATATCATTCCAGAGTGAACATTAAATAAAAGTATTTTCAGACAAAGGTGGAGAGAATTGTGTACTAACAGACCCTCACTGCAAAAAAGTAAAATAATAACAGTAAAGGAAGCATTTTTAAAAAACAAAAAGAAACTCATATGAAAAGAAAGCATTACACACATGAAAGAGTGGTGAGCAAGTAACTGGTAAAAATAAGAGTAGATCTAAACGATATTAACTATATAAAAACAAGAACTACAATGACAACTATTTGACCATGTAATACACACATGTGCCTGCACACATACATGCACACAGAAAAATCATGTTTTGAACCATAAGTTCAAAAGATGCATTTGATAAAATTCAAGATCCATTCACAATAAAAACTCTTAGCAACTACTAGAAACAAAAGGAACTTCTTTAACCTGACAAAAGTTATCTTCCAAAAACCTACTTCGATATTGTGATTTAAAATGCGTATTTGGTCTTCGGTCCAGGTTTCTGGCACAGAGCTCCTGGAACCCTTGGAATTTCCTAAGTGACGAGAGAGAAAGAAGTGTCTTGTTATGTGAATGAGGTGACTTTGGGAAAGCACCTAAGGAAGGGGCTGGTGGTCAAGAGAACCAACCGTATAATTAGAGGGTTGGAACTTTCAGTACCCTCTCTCCAGCCACCTCTGGGGAGGAGAAAGAAGCTGAAGCTTGAATAAGATGCCTATAGACAGTGATTTAATCAATCATACCTATGTACTGAAGCCTCTATAAAAACCCAAAAGGAGAGCCCGGTGGGAGGGCACAGGCATCAAGTGAGATGCAGCACCAAGGCTTACTCTTCCTGGCCCTCCTCACCCTGCTGTCGTTCATCTCTGTGGTGGCCGAAAAGAAAGACAAAGAAGGGTGCCCAGCGAGCGAAGGTGGGGAGTGGATCCGAGAGCCCTGCACCCCTGGCAGAAAGTCCTGAGTGTAGGTTTCCGCGGGGGTGCCTGCAGGGCCCAGACTCAGCACATCCAGCACAGGGTGCCATGCAACTGGAAAGAAGAGTTTGGAGCCTTTGCAAGCAGAAGTTTGAGAGCTGGGAAGGTGTATAATGGGAACATGGCCACCAAACCCCACCGAAGCTCCCTGAAGAAGGCGTAATCCAATGCTCCATGCCAGGAGACCATGTGAGTGGCCAAGCCTACATCACCAAGACCAAAGCCAAGGCCAAAGCCAAGAAAGGGAAGGGAAAAAACTCACAGCCAAACCTGGATGCCGAGGAGCTCCTGACCCACACCCACCTCCCATGGGCCCAAGATATAACCCACCACGCCGTTGTCTGCTCTGTCAGCTTTATCAACCATGCCCTACTTCTTCCCTTTCACTTCCCCCAGCTAGTGCCCAAAGTGGAGAAGGACGAGGAATTCTGGGCAGCTTGAGCCTCTCCTTGAAGGGATTTGATTCTCCATACCCACTTTGTTCTTCCCTACAATGATGCCATTACTAAGAAACAAATAAAACCAATCCTCGTTTTTTCCCCAATAAAAGCTCTTTTAATTAAAAACAAGAAGAAGGAGAAGAGGGTTCGAAGAGCTTCTGAACTGGTGAACACATGGAGATTTGGAGAGAGTGGTGCACACCTGGAGGGAGCGTGG